TAACCCACGTAGTTTAGCGGGAATGCGCTGCAGTGTAGCTGCTGGGATTTCGGCTCTGTATGGTGCCCGGGCTCCCCGTGGGTGGTAGTACCCTTTGTAGTACACACCACCGAATGGGTCATGAAACGCCCCCAGCGTATCCCAGAACCCATGGGCATCCTGTATCATAGAAGCATGCACCACAGGAGCTGGTCTTTGGGGCATTTCATGGGGCACTTGAGGTCGGCTTGGCTCTTTTTCGAGCTGCTGCGCCCTGCGCTGCTGATATCCTGGACCAGGCTTCCCAGGCAGGTATTTGATACCACTGGGTTCCTGTCCAGAACTGCTCTCGCCGGGGGGAATTCCCTTGGCCTGTCGGTATGCACGTCGAGACTCCTGAAACTGTAGGAACTCGGCGTATTACGCCGGAGGATTACTAATCCTCTTCCCCCATCATGGCCAGCAGTCGAGCAGTCTTATCAGCTTCTGCCCTGGCCTTTTCCAGGGCTGTCTCCTGCCTTTGCACAGCAGCATAAACTTCCCTCCTCTCTTGAGGAATGGGTTCTGCTGGCTCCCCTGCCGAACCGAGATACACAACTTCATCATGTCCAGCAGAATCACCAACTTCTGCACATGTACGCAAGTGTGTTTTCACAGCAGGGTTAATGGGAGACACTGCACCGGCAATGTTACCTGGAACTACTCTCTGAGTTCCTTGAGGTTCCTCCCTTGCCTTTCCAGGCTACTGCTGTGCCTTTCCAATCTGCTCCTTTGCCTTTTCAGGCTTCTTCTTCTCCTTAGAAGATGTTGCCTCCTTGGGGACAGGAGTCTCCTCAACTGGAGGCGATGCCTTTCCAGGCTGTAGAGGGATGAATCGAGCGGGGTGGGTCACACCACTATCGCTTCCACTCGACTCATCAGCCCATCTGGCCGTTTGCCGCGGCGGGGCCCTCTCAAGCTCAGCGAAAGCTTTCGCTTGTTGGGCAGGATCCAGCTCATCGGCCGCCGGCTTCGCCTCAAGGCGCTGCGCCTTTTGGCTGCCTCCTGCAGCGAAAAACCGCCTGATCTCAGCCTTGCGCTGGCGTTTGTGAGCTCTCTTCCGCTCATATTTTTGCGGATTTAACTGCCGATCTCGCTCACGCCAAAAGGCTTTCATCTCTCTGCGCTGGCTGGCTTTTCGTGCCTTCCTTGCATCCAACTTCTTTGCATGAGCGAATCGATCTCGATTTCGCATATGTCATCTCTCTTTTTCCATTCTATGCACTTGTGCCCGCGTCGACATATCTCCTGGCAACAGGGAAGCGCAGGATGAGAACGACAATTCAGAGATCTCTGCCCACCGCTCATGGGGATCGTTGGGATCTGGCCTTTCTGGCGTTCCCTCGCTCAAGTCCCATGGTTCAGGGATGTGCCTGAGGGCGAAAGCCATTTTTTCAGGCCATTGCGGGTCCTCTCTGGCTATTTGGTCTGCCATCCCAGGACCGTACCACCTTTGGATTCTCACTAATCTCGCGGTGGTTAATTTTTCTCCAAAATGTTCAGCGGCCATTTGCCAGCCTTCGTCCAATTCGTCCATAAAATCACTGTGGAACTTTGTCCACATAGCACGACATGGTGGTTGCCGGCTATATGGCGTACCAGTGTCCGGAATAAATTCCAGCACCCTGGTGCTCTCCCCCGGTCCCCACTCTGGTAATGCGGGTCTCCAGGGACTCCAATCTTGACCTTTCGGCCTTTCCGGACTAGGGCCGCATACAGCACGAGCGCTTTCCATGAGCGACTCATCACTGCTCTGCTTTGGCTCACTAGGTGTCCTTATATGACCTGTGATCTGACCCTTGGCTCATGGGTCTCGACCTTCCGGCCTCCGATCTCCACCATTTGCCCAACGGGCTGGACCTTCCGGCCTTTTTGCTCACTCGTCTGAATTTTTGGCACCGTCTCACCTGGCAACGGGCTCTTCCGCTTGGGCCGCTGCTTGCCAACAACCTTCCAGTCGCCCTCTGCTTCTGGAATCCTCGGCAGCGGCTCAGATGGACCAGTGCCCATTTCGGGCTCTCTCTTCTGTTGAGCGACCTTCTCTTCCGCCTCCTGAGCTCTCAACTTTTGCTTCAGTAGGCGATCGCTCAACTGGGCGACATGTTGTTCAGCGGAGGTCTTGGCCTCCTCCACTTGGCGGCTCAGCTTTTTCGCCTTTCGCATGGCGACCTCATTTCTGCGGGCTTCTTTCTTTGCTTTGTCCGCTTCAATCTCGAGGGCGAGGATCTTCTCGGCGGTCTCTTCGTCCCGCTTCGCCCTCGCTTGTTGAGCCGCCGTAGCCGCCATCTTTTCCAAAAGCTCCATGATGCCCGGCGCTTGTAGTAGGGCCGCCACTGTACCCGGTTCTGGCACCTCCTCTGCTGGAGCTTCTTCCGCCTCGGCCATCGGCTGGTCGCCTCCTTCCGGCTCCTCTTGTGGCGCCGATGGTCCGGCTATGTCCTTCCGGACTTCTTCCTTTCCCTGCCCATTCCGGGCTGTAACGTCTTCGCCGACTGAACTGGTCGGCGTCCCCTTCCAGGGTGAATCGTCCTCCACACCCAAAGATGCGGGGCTGCCCTTCCGGGCTTCAGGATCCAATTCCTCGGCCTCCATGGGGGAGGCCGGGGAGGGAGCCCGCTGCTCCGAGCTTGCACGTCTGCCCAGGCGGAAGCGTGGTAGCCACCCCCAGGTGGCTCCGAAACCAATGATACATAAAGTCTGTGGGTGTGGGGTTCCTGCCCTCTTTGAGCCGCGGACCCACCTCGCCGGGCACCTAGGTCCTTACGGGGACCTAGGCGGGACCACCCCTCCTACTCCCGTATCCTAATACCTAGAATGGTTACTATGGGTTGAGGATAGTTATCTTGGGCAGGGCGTCCCCCACACCAAGGGCCAGTAGTAGGGCGTCCCCCACATCAGGCCGGTGCGCGTAATAATTGGCCCGCATTTAATTAAGTGTGCATAGAAACTATATAGTAGGTGCTTACGTGAAAGAATGTTGCATGCTTTGATGGTGAGAAAGTCCTCGGAAGGTTGGTAATTGTGGGTTGGACTGTGTGAGTGTCAACCTGGTCCATTCTGGTCTGAGCTACTTGCATCGACAAATTTATGGTGTGGAAGTTGGGCAATTTCCATGTATATGTTTAAAATTGTTGTAAGACTATATTTCTATGGTGTTGATTAGAAATGGAAGGTTAGCCAAGGGCAAGCATGCCCAGGTGTGTATGGCTGACCAATACCGGCACATAGAAGATGTGAATGAAGCTCTCTTTAGGTTAGCATCTCATGCGTTCCGAGGGCAGCAATTGTCTGCCCAGTTTTACACTAACCACCACTTACTACTACTGCGAGTACGGTGGGAAGTGTATAGCTGCCTTTTATTAGATCACGAACGCAACCTATGCATGGGAGTACTGCGAAAACACACTGCTAGCTTTGTTAGTCAAGCGCGTGGAGTACTACAGTTGTAAATGCTTTAAATGACCTCTTTCACATCCTGATATGACCAGCCCGTCTCCACAACAATTCCCTGTGCCAATCTTTGATCATCTTCTTCATCTTGTGGCTATTATGAGGAAGGTGCAACAGGCCCTGGGCACCTGGCAGGCCATTGGGCCGCCCAATGATCGACCGCCGCGGTCGATCGGCAGGCAGGCCGGCGCCCGCCGCTTGCCTACTGAGCAGCTCGGGCCTCGAACCGTCGGAAGCGATCGCAGGCATACGCCAGCGTGATCGCGGATTGGATCGATTGGATATGTGAAGGCCCACGGTGGGCCGCCCACCCCGCCTTGCACCATCCTCTCGGCACTCCCCGCCACCCGGAAGGCACATAGGCAAGCGATTGGTAGGTAGGTAGGCGCCCGCTGCCTGCCATCCGGGCGGCGGGGAGATTGGGCGCTGATGCTGAAGGTGCCAATATGGCACAGGATCCCACGGGCGGGGAGTGGGGGTGGCCAGCGAGCGCGCGCACGCGTTGATCAACAACTGGCGAGGGGGGGTCACTAGGACTCTTGGGAACCGTTCCCAGAGCTGATTGGTTGATGTCGCACGGTGCACGCACGAACGAGGCTTGGGACTGGTCCGTTGCACCTGAAACTTGGGATACAACCTCTAGAGGCCCCTTGGAGCCCGCCTGACACGATGCGGAGCAAGAAAAAAAAACAAAGTAATAGTCCGAGACGAAAATGTGGAGCAAAAACGTAATGGTCGTGATGGACCGATGCGGCAGGGTTTAATATACTACGGTAGCTTGGCACTGTCGCCAAAAAAGAATAGTCCACTGTTGCAAAAGAAGTATTCACTTGTTCGGTCCCTTGGAATGCTCCCTGTTGATGCTCTCGGCTCTTGTCCCCCGTCATATGATGGCATGCATGTGACAGAAATCCATTCGCAAATTTCTGTGTTCATTTCTCGGCACATATATGCTCAGCAACAACTACGTAGTTGTGATGGAGCTTTGTTGGGGTTGGGTTGGGTCCAACACAACTTGCAACATTACATTTTGAAGAGGATCACTGCACAACCACCCCCAGCAGCAGGTGGCAGGGTGGCGGCTGGGCGCCCTTGAACGGAGGCATCGGTCCAACGGATCCAAAACCACTGTGCTGGCGAAGCCTGGAAGCGACGATCATCACCCGGCAAGCGTCGCGCTGATTTGGCCCTTGGAGCGTCAGGCCCCAGCTGTGCCAAGGTGCCCGATGATGGCCCACCTGCCCGGCGGACTGTGGAGGACGCCCGTAGTGGCCAACCTCTGGGCGAACTGCCACTGGAGTGGATCTGGGATCCGGGCGCCGTTTGGCACCAGGCCAGTGCAGGGACCATGGTTCGGGCGCAAGGACGGCGGGCAAGGTCTCTGATCCGTGCAGTCGGGCTGCCGATCGCTATCAGGGGTGCCTCATGCGTGGGCCGTGCTTTGACGACCGCTTCGTGAATGCTGGCCGACTCCAGAGGACGGCCCGCCAGAGAGAGGGGCGCGGGCCAAGTCCGGCTGGGTTCCCGAGTGGATGAAGGCCATGCTGCCAGGTGTGCGACGGACAGGGCCCCGCCGCCAGGGCCAATTTTGTGTTCCGTTCTTGTGTGAACCGCCAGACAGTGAATTTTTGGCCGCAAGGTGGCATCTTGTGGGGATCTTCGCCCTGCCTTTCGTAATTGAGTTGTTGAGCCGGTCGCAAAGCAGGCAGACTTGTACGTGTGGCAGTCCTGAGATCACACACAACGAGGCGTTGTGCTGGAGTTGCACAACGTCAGATACTCGCTGCAGTCCTATTCGGGAATGCGCCTGTCACGTGGGAATCCGAGGGTCGTGGTATGAATTTGTTGTTACTTCTGTGGACTGTTACTGCAGTTCACCATGATCGCAGCTTGTCGTAGTGTGTAATGGCGTGCAGTTCTTTACCTTTGTCCATGGAGAGCAGATACAGTGGACACCGTAGATTGGACGCGTCTTGTTGTGATGCTGGGGCGCTGTGACACTACAGTGTGTTGACAATCAAGTCGAAGCAGACAGGGAATCAGTATTATAACACAGTGGGCCTGTGAGCCGCTGAAAAAATGGCTAATTGCCGGATTTCTTGTCATGCAGGAGCCCTGGGTGGCACACGGGAGATAGACCAGTTGCGTAACATGGATTTAGAAAGTGAGCCGCATTTCTTCAATTGTGATTATTGGATGTGCTTTTAGCTGGAGGTCCAGGAGAGCTTTGGGAAGTGCAGTAACCTGTACTGAGCTGGTGTTGGTGCGCCTGTGTTGCATATCACAGTAATCCACTACCTTGTGAATGGCAGACACAAGCATCCATTGCAAGCCAGGCAACGTTGTTGATCAGGTTTAACCCAAGCACACCATTAGGGTGGCACTGATTTCCTAGTGATGAGGTGCAGTGTCATGTGCTGTGTAAGAATCTCACATGAGGTGAAAGCTTTTGATTTCAAGCTGTGACACAGTTTCTGTGGAGTGCGGCCTCCCTCATGACCAAAGTCCTCAAATTGCAAAATAGACATTTGGCACAAAATACTGTTCTCTTTTTAATTGCATTGTGCCCAGCATGTATTTTGAGCAGTGTCCCTGGTAGTAATGCACAGCTTGTGGCTGGGTGACATTGCCCAAGTACAGATTGCCGGGAAGCAGCACTGCAATGTCAGCTTCCTGCCTTCTCTTTCCTTGAGACAGTGAGCAATGATGGTATGAAAGGAATCTTGGACTGGATGACAACGTTGTCCTGGAGAAAATCTTGACTTTCTGAGCTCCCATGTCTTGAATATTTGTGGGTCTCCAATGGTGTGCTAGCATTGTGGCTGTCCAGGGAAACATAGTTTCCCTGCAGGGTGCAGTCCTTCACAATACTTGTATGTTTAAACTGCAGGCCTATGTAGCCTGCAATGCACCCAAGTACACTGTTCCCAACTTCAGTCATAGGGTATGCTAAGTGCAGTGCATGGCGATGAAGAGAGCACAGTTCATTTGAGTGGCGACTGCCCTTGAAATAATAGTCCTGTAGTTGGACTGAACTTTCGCCCCTAGCAGAGCCAGCACTGACCATGCCTGCACCAGAATGTTGAACCTTTCAGCAGAACTTTCAGCATATTGAATTTTGAGAGTTGGGAATTGCGTTATTGCTTGGTATGGTTGGCCATGATGTGGTTTGTATTCCATTGGTTCAACTGATGCGTTAGTGACAGAAAATATTGTCAACTGCTGACTGCTGAGCCACAACAACCTTAGTCATGTGTTTCTTTGCAAGAAACCTGTGATGCGAAGCTTAAGCTGTAGCTGTGGGTCCACAGCAATGGACGGCTAAAGCTATAGAATCTCTTCATCTGAGGTTGCTAGTTGCCAATGTGTTTTGCTTACACACGTGCAGTGTTCAAAGTTGAATACCAGACATTGATGCTGGTATTTTTGCACAGCAGCAATGACGACAAGCTTTTGGCGTTCTTCTATGAGCACGATTGTGCTGTGACACCTTAAGCATAGTTCAGCTGAGCTGCTGCTCTCTGCCCTGTTGTTGTGGGCCTTGTATCCATCATATGCACAGTGTAATTGTTGTGTCCTCGGTATTTATCTGGATTGCTCTTGGTGTTGAGGCACATCGTGGTGATGTGCAGCATATTCACAAGCCCTTGGGGAGGCCCGACGTCTTGGCAACTTTAGTAGAATGGAATCAGTGGACAGCAGGCTGTCTGAAGCTCGCCATCGCATGTTTGAGAAAGTCATCAGGTGGGTTTCCAGATAAGAGACACGTCTGCCACAGGGCACATTGTTGATATGGCTGCTGCATGTCACTGTGGTGCCCTGCTTTGTCCCCTACATTGATACGTGTGTGTGTGTTGCTATTGAAAATTTGTTGTGCGTACAATCACTCAAACTTTTGCTGGAAATAGGCACCTGAGTGCACAGCTGTAGGTTGTGCCACCCTGACAGTGGCACTGCAATGGTGATGAAACTCCAGGCCATCTTTTGTCCTTGGTTATGGGTCTACTTGGTGTGAATCCATATGGGTATGTGCACAGGATGGCGCACACTATGAGCATCATATCATTGCTGTTCACTGCAATTCGATTGGACAGGTCTCATAAAGTATCAGCTGTAGGTGTGTTTATGTACTGTGGAGCAGTCTGGTTTGGCAATGTGGAACACACTGATGAGAATGGCTACCGGGGGTATATTGTACCCTTCCGAATTGTAGTGTAACGTTTGGCTTTTTCATGCGGAGCAATAGTAAAACTGTAATGGTGCCAAGAAAATGTGGAGCAGCCCCACGCCTGACACGAGGGTCTCTGGAGTGCTCATGGCGTCTAGTGGTTCCTGATGCACGAGTCACTTCGGCGCAAAACTAGCATTTGAGGCCATGTAAACTGAGTAAATCGATTTTCTGGCTGTGACTATGATGTGGAGCCCCTCAAAATAGCAGTCTGTCGAAAAATTGCGGAGCAGGAATCGTAACCCTGAAATTTCAAAAAGCAGAAGGGCATAATATACTATGGAATGCGAGTACACCAGTACTTGCAAGATGCAAGTTGCTGCCATCCTAGCAAAGGGATGGACCATAATTACAGTGGACACCGTCGGTCACCTTCTGCTGGTCGCACTTGATAGCGACGATATCTTTTTGTCTTTAAGGCCATTGTGTGTGGTTTTCTTGCAGCCATATGACGACTCAGGAGAAGACAGATCCACTGAACAGATTCCCTAATGCGTCCAGGGATCGTGTGGCACGGTCTGTGGGCTGCTCCCGATACGAGGTGCTGCACCAGTTGCTGTTTGGGACCTTCATGACATTACTGCCAGGGTTGCCCTCTTGCGACAGGACTGTATTGCCTTGGATGATTGTGTATGTTCGTGTTGATTTGCTTGCATGCCCATCCATGCAGAATGCGTTGCGTCAAGACAGAAAAATAGTACATGTTGTCACGAGGTATGGTGTCTTCCTGTATATGTACTGTGTCTAGTTGCCTCTACACAACTTCATTCTGCTGAATTCGTCTACCCTATGAATTACGGAAACTTTGACTTCCATGTTCCTCAGCACTATGCCTACCCAAGATAAGTGGCTGTGCCAACATTGTTCCAACCACTCAGCTATCAAAGGATACTCCCAGTTATCAAAGGATGATCGCAGGGCTGCAACACAAGCAGGATTTAAGGTGGTTTGCCAATGGTGGGCAGGTGGAAGATTGTATCAACTCATTCCTTCAGCTGAAGATCCTTGCAGGCAAGGTCGCTGAGCTGAAGGCCCAGGGCAAGCCAATACCAACATCACCAGCAGATTTGCAGGGCGCTGTTGGAGAGGAGTGGGACAAGATGATGAGAGACCGGATGCACGAGTCCAAAGTGCAAGCCACACCTGGTAACAGTGGCACGTGCATGTGTAACTGTTTCTGTGCGAAATCCAGCAAGATTTGCTTTTCCATCAAAGCGACCAATTTGTCAGAACATCAAGGTTACGCAGGTAACTGCAAGTTTTGGTGCTATTGCACATTCTGTCACTTTTCAGGGAAATGCAATCTTGTGTTGATGTGGCTGGCAACACAGATGGAGACAATGACAAATGGGAAGCCCCTGAAAGTGGCAGCAGCAAATTGCCAGCTGGGTGCCACAACATTAGCTGCCAGAAGCGCAAATCATGTTAACAGTTGCATTCTTAGAATTTCTTGTGGCCTTTGTCACCATGGGATGCGCACCTTTTCTGGGGTGGATTGCTCATCATTGCTGCTGTCATCCTATTGTCCTGCCCGGAATATTCCATGGTGTTGTGGTGTATGTGACTGAATAAATGCTCATATTTTTTCTGTATGGTGCAGCTATTCAGGTGGATGACGGGATGCATGGGCCAGGCATGCAGCCCTGCCCCTTTGCGAACCAGAGGGTTAACCGCAACACCATCTGTCCGCTGACAAAGAAGAAATTCAAGCGATGCTGTGGCTCTGTCTACTCCATACAAACTTGAGAGTATTCTTGACCCTCTGCCCTGTTTAGGGGTAGCTTTCGCCATGTCTTTTAGAGCCTACTTATCACCCTCGTGTAAAAGGTACTTCGGCAGCCTTTGCAGGACCCCTGAAAGTTTTGCGACCAAGAGTGGCGGCTTCGCCGTCATGAGGCGGACTAGGACTCCCCCGCATGGATATTGAACACTGAGCGAACACTGATACTCTCTTTTCTATCTCCTTGTTTGGGACCCTGCATCGGCTCCTGCTGGAAAAGGGTCCTACTGTACTTTGAGAGTTGCAGGGGAGTTCCTTCGTTCTTAGACATATGTAATACATTTGGAATTAAAAAAGCATATTGGCATATACATACATATACATGTATTGGCGCTTTGGATTTCAGCGCACGCTTTTCCCAATCGATGTTCAGACTTAGTTGCGGGTCGCTGGCCATGATGTCTAAACAACGTGGTCCGACTTGTAGCCCACATACCATTTAAAGGGTCGACTTGTGAGGGTGACAGGTTCGCCGCATTCTGGATGCCCATTGGGCATTCGACAATCACACTGACTCCTGGCAGACCTAATGCACGTTTTGCTGTGCACTTTTCTTGTTGCAATGGGGCCCTTTTTGTGAGCATGGAGAGGCTTGCTCGAATTGGGGATGCCCTTAGTGCTGCAGGTTTCTTGCCTAATCAGTTATGAATCACCTTGCCCAGAGGCATACTACATCTCCTGTTTTGTGCACAGTCTTGAAATCGTCTGAACAGGTATTGCTAGACACAATGCAATGCCACTGTTGCACGATTGATGTTCTGCATACATACTGCCTCTGTCTCACAAGTCATGCCCGATCTCCAATTTCACAAGCGAAGATCAAAATGAGCGAATTAGAAAATTCAGTAAAACGACTTCGAAGCACCATATCATCAGCTATTCGTCGAGCCCTCAAATGCTGCCGTTCTTGTCATATGCCAAGAGCTGAAACGCAACTTTTAATTTTTCTGGGCATTGGGTGGCATACAACATGTTTGTCTTGCCCTTAAGGAGAGGTAGATTGATCTGAACTGTCAATAGAACAGAGGCATGCAGTGGTGGTTTGGTGTGCGCTAAAGAATCAGCTTGATCCCAAACAGAATTTGTGAGGAAAAGTATTTGGAGTTCGTTGCAAACACCTTAGGGTGGTAAGAACAACTACGTACACGTGATGGGCAAAGGCCAAGAGGCACTGTCGCACCATTCTCAAAATGGGGACAACGAGAATGATGCTCGAAGATTAACACAGATGGAAGACGTTTGGATGGGCACTGTCACATCAACAACCGATGACGACCATTTAATGCATTTGCGGCTGTAGTACTCCACGTGCTCGACCACAGAGCCAGCGTAAGCGGTTTCCCAGTACTCCCCTGCAGTTGGCGGCGTCGAAGGTCTAGAGAAAGACAGCAGTACGCTTTCCACCATACACGCAGTCATATAGGTGGTGGTAAGTGACGTCCCACAAGCGGACCTGCTGCCCTCGGTTATATAGATAGCAACACCTTCTAAAACTAAGTGTTATGGCTTTTCCATATACCAGAGTTAGTCAGACATACACAACGGATTACGCCGAATCCAGTCTGGCCAGTCCACCATTACATAACCGCCACTTTAGTATAGTTTGTTACCCCACCTTGCATATACCATGCAAGCCTATACATTCCAAAGCACTATACCTCAATCAGTATAAGTCAGTAGCTAGATGGATTAGTAACTACTCATACATTCCAACCCTGTGATCAATCTCCATCCCCTGACCGTCACACCATGTTTACAGCTTAGTATCCTTTCATGGAAGTGCCTGCCAAGGGTAAACATGCACTCCAATTCCAGCCCAGCCCCGAGTCCCCGCTTAACTCACGCTAGGTACACCAACATTTTGGGCTACAATCGGTCAAAGGCTGGAACTCCGCCCTGGCCTCCATCAAAGCACACGCTTGTGCCCCGCTGCGCACACCTCTACCTTCACGACCGATCGAAACTGGTGATTGATAAGCTCCTGACAGTTGAAGCGGCAGTGCCCCATCTACCCCAGCCGGTATGGGTGCTCCAAGCATGCTGTTCCAACTGCTAGTCTCAAAAGAGAGCTTTCGCAAGCTCGCAGGTGGCGCACACAGCAGACAAACCGCAAAACTCTTACAGGCTTGTTGGAGTCTGTTCTACAAAGAGCCACCGCCCTCTCGGTCACCACAGACTAAATACTCTTGCAAGACACCATGTCCCCTTCTCGCTCACCCTGAACGTCACCCCACGTTCCGCACCCAGAACTCTACCACTATCCTCCGCAAAACTCACATAGCCCCATCGTTGCCCCACAGCTACCTACTCTAGTATCAAGTACCCCAACACACTGAGAACTCCACCCAATATATACACTACTTGCCCTCTAAGCTCCTGGGCTTGACCCACATTCCCGAGCCTTACCGAAAATTGATTGGGAGAGCAAAGAGCTAAAGGTGGATGAACACGTCATCCGCTTGCCTACTGCGTGGCACCAAGAGAAGAACAAACGGCATGGCCCAGGGTACTGGAGGGATGAGGAGCTTCTGACCAGAAGCACAAAAGAAAATAAATTGTGTGCCCAAAAGAATGGAAAGCAACAACAACTTCCAAGCACAGTCGGAAGCCAGTGGCGAATACGAGAGTCTTGAAGGAAGTGCCGTTGATGCAAATCAAACGCCCCCCTTTGGAGTGCACACGGGAAGCGCGGAACCACGATCGCCGATGCTTCAACGGGTTGGCGCACGGCCAGACGCAAGGCCACACCACACACGAAACGCCCGGGGCTTACATATTTGTTCACCCTTCCCACAACGAGGAGCCTTGCCGACGGTGGCAACGACCCCCGCAACCAAACAGTTTGAATTTTCTTGCACCCACAGAACTTTCCTTTTCACGTGACAAGGAACATCATCCATCACCAACCAGCCATACCGCGCTTCAGAGATGCCCACTCATCGCCACAATACAACCCACTCTATAACACATATACTAAAGGTGCCCATACACTCAATGGTAATGTAGAAATATTTCAGCTGTGAGCGCGACCCCAACATAACATTTATCTCTGAAACGGATGGCATCTCCCACAACATTCAAATTGATGCTCACAAAAGTCCCATCACATGAGAAATAATTCTGTGAGTTCTAAAACACTTTTTTCTTTTCTTTGTATAAATTCAGAGTGCCTTGCATGCAAAAAATATTCTTGATGTGCATACAAGTCGCACACCATAATGCATAAGTGATCCACCCAGTGAAGCGGTGGTCATTATGCGGTGTTGCGAAGAAGAAGCTGTCATACCGGACTATTGACAGCTGTGATCAGGAGGATCCGTCAAGGGTTAGTGACGACCCTGACGACTTGTTGTATCAATTAAGGGGAATGAGAGGGGGAATCAGGCCCTCATCCAGCGAGATAGAAGGTGACGGCCCTGACCATTTGCTATTTTGATTGACGGGAATGACTGGGCCCCCGCCTGACATAGATGATGGTGACGACTACGATGACCAACTGTGCTAGTTGGTTGAAGCGAGGAAGGTGACCAAGCCCCCGTCGAACATAGCGGATGGTGAGGGCCACGATGATGTATTGTTCCACCTCGCCGGTGTAAAGGAGGTGGCCAGCCTCCTTACCGAAAAGGTGGATCATGATGACTTTCATGACTCGCTCAACGAATCAGTGGCGACCGAGGACCCACCTGAGCTGCCCCCTGATTTCGAGTGGCATAACGACTTTGACGACCTGCTGTACACGCTGGAGGAGGCACGTGAACTCATAGGTACACTACTCCATACGGCAGGCAGAGGCTACCCGGGTACCCCACTGAACGTGCAGAGTTTGGTCGGCCTTTCAGACGGAGCAGGGAGCCTCGAGGAATCCGGCCGTCAGCCAGACGGGCTGACCAGGGCAAAGACGACAAGGAAGATATTCGACCCGGGCAACGAAGAGAAGTCATACAACTTGTCCCAGTAGGTAAAGAACGTGGAAGACAAATTGCAGGCCCAGGAGGAAGACTCAAAAGACCCACGGCTAGAGCTAGCCGGAATTGAGGGACTAACTAACCAGAGACTACTGAGACAACGGACAGGGACGTCCCTGATGACTTGCTGCCTCTAACCACGGACATTGGCGGACAGTACGGGTCACCCCCGAGCTAGTGCAAGGATAGACGGCCTGATGAACACACAACCCAGGGATGCCAGGAGCGTGAGGCAGACTTCGCCGTGCTCCAGACTGACATGCCATACATGGGGAGCGAAGTGAAAGAACCCTCACCCCAAGATAATGTATTGGACCAGAAGGGTTCTGGGCCAAAGGCGGGTAAAGGAATGGGAGGCCTAACCACGGACATGGTCAAGGACTAGTTTGGCGGGAACGACACCGGAGAGATGCTACGACAGAGCCAGGCGACTGTGAGGGGCAGACGCGTGGGTATCGGGAAGCGCCAAGGAAGTATTAGGCCAGTGTAGCCTTGCGAGTGACGCCGGTACAGAAAGATGTCAGCGGCGGGCCAATGACCAAGCAGCTGATAAATCAACATACAGGGGAAGACGTTAAGCCAGCGGCAACTACCGCCCTACCACTAGCCAGAAACCTACTGCAGACATCAGACTTCTGAAAGGGAGCGCTATATATAGAAGCTGCGATATTACTACTCGTGGCCGTCCTGCTCGCTCACATAGCTCCTGCATCTAACCGATCCCCGAGGCTGCCCGAGCCGCTGAAAAGATGACTCCCGCCGCCCACACCCCGGCGAAGCTTCGGTACCCACCGGGATTCTCCCTGGATGCCGCCGACAGCCCCTTAGATTGGGCCAAGGCCTACGAGCAGATTTTTCAGGGCACAGGTTGGCCAGCGGGCTGGAAGGAAGCGGCCGGCTCACAAGGAAGAGGTGGCGGCGAAACGAACCAGGACGCCCTAGGACAAGCGGCGGGAGACTGACAGGAGTCGGAAGCAGGAAGATGCACTACCCGAAGAACC